AACGTGAACATCTATCAGCTTCCCTGTAAAAGTCTTCCACTAAGGTATCTTTCCCTTAGACAAGTAATTCTTGCGTACTTTGTCATAATCAGTTATACTTCAGTTAATAACATCACCCCCCCAAAAAAAAATCCGGATTTATTTCACCCAACATAGAATCATTAATAGTCTCAGAATGTACTACAGCTTAGGATGAAAATATTCCATTAACAGGTGAGGGACTTCCTCTCCCCCACAGGAAATTTAAATTGGAAACTATTTTAAGAAAAATCCAAAATTTCGGTTTTATTTGCAAATATATGCATTACTGTTCTTAATTGGTTTGAAATATTGCTTAATTTGTGAATTATTATTATTATTATTATTTTCTGTAGCAATTTGAGCCCTCCTGCTAAGTCCAGCCAGTTTAGAAAATCCACCAGTGTTCGAATGGTTAAAAATCACCGATACTGGTGGACACTGGTTCGAATCCCGGAGAAAGACTGGTTTTATGAATATTTTTTGGTACTTATTCGTAACTTGAACCGGTTACGAATTCGTTCTTATTCGTAACTTAGAAAGTCTTCCATGAAATTATCTTTTTACTTAGAAAGTTGATCTTCATGTGAATTGCCATATTCAAACAAGCAAACCGATCCAAAATAATCTAGTCGAGCCTAGAAAATGTCTTCTTCTGATTTCAGTGTTTCACACTGATCATATTCGGAGAAATGAAGTCGAAGACTGTTGTTTCAAAAGAGTGATTATTTTAAAATTTTAATAAAACAGTTTACACTTTTTGCAAAAATGCTGTCAGAAAGCGATATTTTATTGCAATTATTTTGTAATGCTATTCTGTACAACGATATTCATTGCTGTATTATGTTAGTTAATTTGAACTTTGAATGTAAGGGTACGGACCAAGTAAAACTGTGTTAACTGAAGTACCCGTTCTACGCCAGAGTAGCGCGTATTTGTTTTAAACACTCAAAGGCTTATTCTCATAGCCCCCCCCCCGGAAAAAAAAAAGCACAACCTTAAAGCAGAAAGTGACGGGCCATACTGGTGATTCCGGTTGCCCCCCTTCGAGAGCTTCCCACTACCTCCTCTTTCTTTTCTGCCACTTTTTTCCTCTTCACTCCCCATCCCTGCAACACCCTCCATGAACACTCTATATCGATGACACAATTTTGACCCGGCGTTGCCCGGGCTTTACGCAGAGTGAAGATGCTTCATTTATTGGGATGGAAGTAGTTTTTTCGAAATCTCAGCTAAACAATGATTTTCCTCTTATTTTGCTTCAAGGTGAATTGGCAAAACTTTTATTAATCTCAAGTAAACTTAAGAACAGTGTGCAACTAACACGACGCTATATAACGGTTTTAATAAGAACTGGTATATTTGCTTTATTATCGTTATGAATTTTAACCGGAATGAATTTTCGGAATCCACTTTGGCCGATTTCTTCTTCGTTGTCAAAATATTCATTAGAAACTCAGAGAGAGCGCGTTAAAAATCTGCTTTAAAGGCTCTAGAGTGTTCTGGAAAGTTCTGCACTATTCTAGAAAGTAAACGAACACCGCGCCGTCTTACGGTTTTAGTAAGAACTGATAACGAGAACACAACAGTTCCATCGTGAGCCTATTTTGGGTGACGTGATTTCCAAAATGAAACTACTAATATTAATTTTTATGTAAGAAAAGAATTATAAATTCTTTGCGTAACATATATGAACTTCCACTAATACCGGGAACGCAATAATGGCGATATAAACCTAAGATGGGTGACATGAGTGCAGCGTTCTAATATAAAACACCTGAGTGTAGACCCCGTGGGTGGTTTTTAAAATCTTATGTAGACAGGGGAGTAGCTAGAGGGGGCAAAGGGGGCATCTGTCCCCGGGTGCAGAATCCAAGGGGCGCTAAACTGATGTTACGACATTTTAGAATTAAATGTTTGCCATCCTTGGCAAGCAGTAGGGGGCGCGAAATCTTCAGCTGTCCCTGGGCGCTGAAAACCCTAGCTACGACTCTGTATGTAGACAATTATCTTATTCTTGTTTTGAATGTGAATTGCACTTTTTTAAATTCAGAAATCCTTCCCTAAATCTGCGAAAGATTGAACTAAAAGATAAAGTTCAATATGAATACAAATTAAGATTATTCTATCTAAGGAAAAAGGTGTGGGGGGATATTTAAGAGATCTCTAAAATAAAAATGGAAATTTAACAAAGTCAAAAGGTGTGCTATAAGGGATGCAAATATGGCAGAACCATTGGTGAAAACCCTCAAAATTAAAGAAGCGGTAAAAAATTAAGCGATGAAAATGTCTGTAAATGGTTAACAATTAAAATTATTAATCTGTCCTGTTAATGTTTCAAAGAGAACTTGTGAAGGGGTGAGTATTTAAAACATGAAACCGGGTAGATTAATGAGAGATGAGTAATGTGTCGTTCCTCTCAGCACTGTAAGACTTCAAACCTTTGTAAATTAATTTGTTTATCGAAAAAATACATCTAGGTCGTCTCCCATTGCTGAAGTGCTACTGCAACGTGTTATTCGTCTTATTTAAAATTAAAGTAAGAATTAAAAACTTATTAACGTAAAATATGCTAATAAAGCAAATAAAAGTAAAACATAAAAATATAGCAACTCATAATCCATAAAAACTACAGTAAATTAAAAAAAATGACTAGTAGATTTGTTCAAACACATTTTGAAAGTATTATTCATATAAGTTATGAAATACTAAAGGTAAGTTAAACTTACAATTAAAAAAAAAAAATCTTAAAGTCCTATTTATTTTCAATTAAATTATTTTAAAGTTTATTACTCATTTTAAATCTGAATCATTTAATATTCTACTGATAAATATAAAATACGCTAAAAGAAACAGAAAAAGGAAAAGCCATTTTCAACCATTTATGTACTTTTTCATTGCTTCTTTAATTTTGAGGTTTTCACCAATGTTTTTGCCATATTTACGTCCTGCGCAATATAATTTTTGACCTTGCTAAATTTCCATTTTTACTTTAGAGACGTCTTAAATACTCCCCTTACATCTTAGATAGGATAATCTTAATTTTCGCTCCGCGTTTGCTGCTTTTAAATCGCTTCATTTGTTAATTAACAACAAAATCAATTTGAACGAAAAATTATAGCTTACGCTTTGCTGAACTACAAAACACTGCCGCGCTGGCGATAAAAATGTTTTCATTCAGACACTGGCAACACATTTAAATCTCCGAGTTTTTTTATTTAATTCAAAAGAAAAATATATTACAAGTGGCAACACACTTCTTTTTATATCACCGAATTTTCTGATTAAGTTTGAAACATAAATAGCTCACGCTTTGTAGAGTGGCAACACGAAGCTTTACCGATGACCGATGACAAACATCCTTACTGTGATAGCATTATTATATTATAGTTTCGAGCGCCAATTTAAAGACCTGAAAAAATTCAGTAAATTCTATATGTTTATTATGCCATATTTTATTTTGATTGCAAATTTAATTTTTAATATGCAAGCATCTGCTGTCCCCTGAAACTAAGATAACAAATTCTCTTTGACAACCATAAATTATTGAATTAATTTTATTGTGACTCATCTCACTTAACCGAGAAATCAGCATCAGATCAAGTCTACGAATTCTTCGAGTCTAAACACTCAAGGTTTGCGCTTGTCGTAAATTCAGCCTTTATAGATTCACAGTACGAATTTGCCCCTCCTCCATCTCACTTTTGAAGATGGCAGATCCCAGAGTTTCCCGCTCCTCTTCTTCTTCCACCAACCTGAATACCAATGTATTTGATTATTGTTTACATATATTAATAACAGTTTCGACATTTCATTTGTAGGTCTATTTTTAAGTTTATGTAAGATAGCTATTAGCCTCAAAGATTATTTTGGTTCAAAAGACTGGTTTTAATTAATTGTGTATGACAAAATACGCATGGGATATTAAATGTTCATGCAACAACCGATTTAGCCACTGGGAAGAAACCAAGGTAGGTTAGGTTATTTGAATACGGCAAAGTGCACAAAGACTACCTGCCTAAGGGGAGGGATGGCTTCCTGGAGGACTTCCTGGAGGAGATTGGTCTGTATTTACGTTATATATAGACAAAAAATATTAATATTATTATCATATTAATACATAGCCAGTATTTAATCGGAAAAGTGGATAAATTGTAAATTCGAAAGAAATCGTTTAGTATGTCACTTGAAAGCGAAATATATCGCGTTTGATTTCTGAGGTGTGGCTGATTTAGCAGTAGAACTTCAAGCACTTTTTTCAGTTTATGCTTGAAAATCTTGAATCTCATTAGAACATGAGATGCAATGCACAAAAATTCATAAAAATTAAAAAAATGGTTAGGGGTAAAACAAACATCAAACTTTAAGAATTAAATATACGGTGGAAGGAGAGGGAAATTATTTTTAAAAGTATTCAAACATTTTAATTTAGGAATAGAAAATTAGAAAAATAACCTATATTCTACTCGTAGAGTCTATAAAATTACTTACCACGTAAAATTTATGCTATATTTTTCCCGAAAATATATTGTTAAAAAACCTAGCTCTGAATAATTTTATCTATTACTAAGAGTATTCCGAATAATTTCTAAAACTTTTACATTAATATAAAAGTTTTGTAAGCTTTGACAGTAATTAATTCATGCTTTATGCTTTACTAAAATAATTCACCAACCAACTTATTTCCTATTTCCTTCAAATCATTCGATATATAAATATGTTTTGTGTGATACTAACTGAATACATAGAGCATTTTATTTACAGCAACAAAGGTTTTTCTACCAATACCAGGTTGTTCGTATTAAGATAGCATTATTATTAACGAAAGATATTTTTGAAGGCTATGAGGAAAAAGAAAAATAAAAGGAAGATGACGAAACATGATGCTAATTTTTCTACTAAGCTGTAGCGTGAAGCGAGAAACTTGTCGAAAGAAGGTCATGGCGCTGTCTTCGCCGGCTAACCTGCCTTCGTTATTTCACTTCGGTGTTCATGCTTCCTGAGTTTAGAACTGCTTCGCTTTCAGTAGGGACATGTCCGAAATCAATGACGGTCCCGTGTTAGTTACGGGGGCTTCTGGCTTCATTGCTTTGCATATTATACAGCTGCTACAACGAGAGGGTTATAAGGTTCGGGGTACAGTTAGAAGTCTTAAAAATGAAGCCAAAATAAAACCTTTGCTAAGTCTGTGTCCAGATGCTCGCTATCCTTTGGAACTAGTCGAAGCTGATTTAACCATAGATGCAGGTTGGGATAACGCAGCAAAAGGGTGTAGTTTTGCTATCCACGTTGCTTCGCCCTTTCCAAACGCTCCCCCCAAAAGTGAAGATGAATTGATGATTCCAGCAGTAGAAGGTACCAGAAGAATTCTGAGGGCCTGTGCAAATGCCGGTTCGGTAAAACGCGTGGTTCTTACGAGTAGCATTAGTGCGATTCATGGCGAATCAACGAACGAAGAAGGCCGTGTTTATAACGAAGAAGACTGGAGTGATGTGAATTCTCCAGCTATGGATGCTTATGCTAAAAGCAAAACTTTGGCTGAAAGGTCGGCTTGGGATTTTTTACGAGAAGAGTTGCCCGCTGGCAAGAAGATGGAATTAGCAGTTGTGAATCCGAGTTTAGTTATGGGTCCTTCCATTAGCGGTGTAGTCTGCACCAGTTTAGAACTCATAAAACGTCTTATGGATGGCACGATGCCGCTGATTCCTCGTCTGTACATTGCAATTTGTGACGTTCGTGATGTTGCATTGGCTCATTTACGAGCTATGACTGTACCGGAAGCTGCGAATCACAGACATATTGTAACATCGGCTCATTTGTGGTTGCAGGATATCGCCCATATGCTGCGGAATGAATTCGCACCTCAGGGGTATTTTATTCCAACATGGCCTGCTCCATACATGTGTCTTTATATTTATAGTTGCATCGATAGCTCAACGAGATTGATTTTACCCAGAATCGAGCAAACGTACACTTTTTCGAACCGCCGAATGAAGGAAGTTCTGAAAGTGGAGCCTCATACTGCTGCTGAAACGCTAATTGACACTGTTCATGGAATGATTCAGGGTGGTGTAATAAAAAAAACAAAGAAATACAAACCTCGAGAATAAAATATCAAATCAACTGTACTGTTGCATAAGAAACGATATATTGTACGAGCTCTCAAAATGAATTATCCATATTCAGGTTTATAAAATTGCTCTATTGAGAAATCATACCCTTACAGTATTAGAATAGAAAAGAGAAATGAAATATTGTGTAAGTAAAATTATGAAGTTAATTATGTTTTTTTTATAAGTAAAACGCAAAGTTTGTTAATAAATTGCATAATTTGATAGATAATTGCAGCACTGCAGTTTTTATATATGCAGTATTTGTACCAAGGATGACTAATTGAATAGTTTTATTTTTTGTGGTAGAGTAATTTTTTTTTTTAGAAAGTATGCACAAAATGCATTCAGAAATGTTTTTCTTTTGCCGAATTTCTCCTACTGTTTATTTTTGATTGTGAATAAGTAAGATTTTTATTTTACATAAATGGCGGACATTAAGAGTTAAAAGAAAGATGTATTTGATTAAGTTTTTTCCTTGAAATCAGCCTGTTAAGACAGTCATTTCTTTCAAAAAACTGTAGCATTTTAGAAAAGTTAGCTTTCTTTTTTTTTTAACTTTATCAGAATTTTTTCAGAATAAGTTTGTTGTACTAGATTTCTGTTTTGAAGAAGTTTTCTATTTAAATCATTATTGATATTCTGTGAGAATTGTGACAAATATAGTTTCCTGGAATTGTTGGCGTGCATGGAAAACTTATCAAGAAATATATCATCATAGCTGTACCTCATTAAATTTCATTTATTTTATTTCTCAAATCAGCACAATGTTATGGATTTTTCTACAGCATTCCAATATACACAGGAGAAAAAGTTACTTTTTTATTCTAGCGTACAAATTGTTGTCATATTTTGTATTATAAATTTTTTTCTTGGTTTCTTATAAAAGACATAGAGTAATGCAGTTATAAATTTTCTACATTATGCGTTATCTTAGTATTTAATTATTTTGTACATAGAGGCTGACTCTTTGGAACAACTTAATGAAAGCTATATTTCATGAGCTTCTTATTATATCAATTGATTTAGTCATTGGTCATCATATTAACGCATATTCCATAGCACATTCATGTAAAAAGAAAATGACATTCATCAGAGCATTAAATTTTAAATGCGAGCTAACATTAACATTTAAATATTTTACATTAAAAAAATCTATTCTTCCTAATATTAGATGCAGGAACTTATTTAAATCATAAAAGTGTTGCGGTGGAACCTATTTATAAGCATCTTAGTTTCAATGTTTTACTGTTCCTTAAATATTAAGCTAAAGCATGCAGTGCTTTAAAAGAACTACCCTCTTTTCCATATTTTTGTCATTTGCTTAGTTACAGAGAGTTCCAGGAATTTGATTTTTAAATTTAATAGTAACTTTATACGAAATTAGACTGAGAATTTTTGATACTTACATCATATTTTTATATTTGTATTCCATTAGGTTCAGGTATTTAAATTTTCAAATTGTATTTCAACTTATTAGAAAGCCGATGTTTTAATCGTTGAATCGTCTAAAAATCGGATATTTTCCTGCCGATTATTTAAAATTTTTATGCTTAAACTTGTAATGAAGTGTTTCTTTGATATGCAAGTGACCAATTTTGAAGCTGCCTGAAATTTGATTAAAAATTACCGACAGTAGCTTTTTGCCCATATAATTCTAAATTTTTTAATTGTCACTTAGTCTTGTACAGAGTACAACAATGTACTGTGCTGTAAATGATATCCTATGTCCTTGTAATAGATATTTCTGTAACGCATTTGCAAAACAATTGTGAACTAGAAAGGCACTTAACGCTGAAACATTTAAAGGCTATTTAATAGCTGTTATTCTTTAAAGATGTTTATAAAGTTATTTGTTTCAAAAATGGAAGAAATCTATTTTTAGAGAATAATATTGAATTTTTAAAATTTGATGTAAATAGAAAAGACAAATAATTTTTGAAGATAATGTTGCATGCAATTCCGGAAAGCATTGGTCATATTCTAATTCAAACATACACAATTTTAGTTATACTTCTATAGTAATTAACTTTTTGTACATGTAAGCGTAATAATGAAGAAATTCCATATTAGTGTTCTATTCAAGGAATAATGTTGTAATTCATATAATGTGAAAGAGTTAGGTGTGAAATAATATTTCAAAATATTTTTTAGGTTTATTGTATATTCCAGTATATCTGTGCAAAATCTTCGAAATCTAGAATGTTTACAAACTATATATTGTACTAATTATACAATTATCGAATATATGCAATTATCTGGATTATTTTTTATGCATATACACACTATTCCGCTCTTCAAGAATGTATTACATTTATTTACTCCATATTTATGGAGTGCGTTTAATCATTAGTCTAGCTTTTTTCATTAATTATGGTAGTTTACATGAATATAATCTGTGTTTAAGATATGTGAAATTATGTGCTACTTTGTTCAAATGATTGAAATTTTGAATCTAAGAATTCTGCCAGACTTTGAGTTATTAACCTTAATTTTGAATGCTACTGATGTGTTAATTAAATTCCTTTGCTATTCAATTTGGTTTTAACTCAGTTATTTTTTGTTTGATACATGAGCTTTGTATAAAACTATATATAAAGTTTTTATTTCTTTCATTTGTAAGAATGAAATCCTAGTTAGTTTGGTCAGCTTCTAGTCAATCAAGAACTTGCCTAGAGTATATCTTGCAGTTTGCTTGAATATACATCAACATTAAGTATCCTGATTTTAGTAAGCTGAAATAGATGGAAAAAAAAATGGCTGTCGGTCAATTTTCTATGCATTTCGATTAATACAATACGACATCGCTGACTATAAAAACAGTTCGACCATATTTTTAAATGTAACAAACAGATGTAAGCATTTATTACAAAGTAATTACTATATTTCGAAGTAAGTGGATAATGCAAAGGGAACAAAACTTTTATGCAAAAACGACTTGTATCATATAATGTAGGCAACCGAACACTTTTTAGTGTACAACTAATTGAAGCAAAGCACTTGCTTATAGCTACTACAAATAAAGATGATTTGCGTATTATTAATTCAAACGCTTTAAAAATCAGCAATGCAAAGAACTTGTGAAAAATATCACCTACGAAGTGCAGAAGCATAAATTCCATAACGACTTAAAAAATAAGGTTGATTTTATTACTATTTTTTTAAACATTTACTTCATTTACTAGAAGAAAACGTAAGAGAAGCAACGAAAAAGCAAATTTTTAAATAAAAGCTGACCAAAGCCACAAAACTGTTTCCTTATTTACATACTCTGAGGTAAGCTCTCCAAATATTTCCCCTAACACAGGTGAAATCTAATACATGTGTGATCATCATGAGTCGGTAAAATTTCACTGACATTGACTTCATTGAAATATTAAGATAATACATAGTATCTATTTACAAGATCTTTTTATGCAAAATATTAGGACGGAATGTGAAAATGAAACAATTTTTTTTTCATTTTTCGAACAGAAAAAACAGCTGAAATTAACCTAAAAAGTGTTGCATAAATTTGGAAAGGAAAAATTCTTTTGGCAATTCTCAAAATAATTTTTTTTTTCCAACTTCGTAAAACAAGTTTCAAACTTAGTGCAGATTAGAAATACCAGATGTAAACTATCATGTTATCATGAATTATCACGAGAAATTATTTCGTAATATTCAGTATTCTTTACAAATACTTTTCTCAGTCATACTGAAATATCAATTTTTAAATGTAGGAATTGTGTTTGCATCGGTGGGCCAGCACAATTGTGTTGGCCCACCGATGACGAATGGTGAACCGCTAAACACTAACAGTTCATCTTATTTCGATTTCCAGCGAATGGTCTAGCTGCATGTGGGTTTTCCTACTTCTAATGTAAATAAGACTTTCTCCTGGGAAATCCTTCATAAGGGCAATCCTTCCCTTCAGGCAAATTTCCTGTGCTTTGCCATATTCAGTTAGCCGCCAACCAAAATGAATCATTCAATATCATTTCTGTTCTTGTAGCCATATCAACTTTTATTTCCGTTTCAGTGAATTTTATCCTCCCCTTTCCACCAAGTTTTCTCTTCTGTGAGAAATTTTCATTTTAAAGAAAAGGTTTTGGAGTTTTGTAATTAACTGATGTTAAGATGCATTTAGACTACAAACTTCAAAAATATTTATTGATAAATAGCTCATAAATTTCTTTTATGTAAAATTATTTTTAAACTAGGCGGCCCACCAGCGGCCGAGCGGTAAAGTCGCTGAACACTGGTAGTTCGGTCCGAGGTTCGAATCCCGCGAACGGGCTGGCTGCATGGGTATTTTCGGGGTTTTCCCCATGTGTGACGTGTATACGAGCCAGTTCCCTTAGAAAGTCCTCCACGAAGGCATCCCTCCCCTTAGGCAGATAGCCCTAGTGTGCTTTGCCATAATTAAATACACACACACACACACACACACCATATTTTTAAACTAGTGAAATTTTCGCTGCTTCAAGATGTTGTTTCCTGTTACTCCGGGTTAGCCTAAATGAAACTGGTCTTAAACAACAGTCTGAATACCAAGGCGGAAATGGCCGACCAGCGGCCGAGCGGTAAAGTCGCTGAACACTGGTAGTTCGGTCCGAGGTTCGAATCCCGCGAACGGGCTGGCTGCATGGGCGTTTGCGTGGTTTTCCCCATGTATAACGTGTATACGAGCCAGTTTCCCTTAGAAAGTCCGGAGCCCACCAGCGGCCGAGCGGTAAAGACGCTGAACACTGGTAGTTCGGTCCGAGGTTCGAATCCCGCAAACGGGCTGGCTGCATGGGCGTTTTCGTGGTTTTCCCCATGTGTAACGTGTATACGAGCCAGTTTCCCTTAGAAAGTCCTCCACGAAAGGCATCCCTCCCCTTAGGCAGATAGCCCTAGTGTGCTTTGCCATAATCACACACACACACACCAAGGCGGAAATGCACAGAAGAATATTGGAGGAGGGTGTATGAAGGAAAAGAAAAAATCAGAGCAATGCTTTGGCCTTTTGAACGGTGAGTCTAAGGCAAGGCGCATTTTCATTCCCGATGTGTTTTAAAACAACGCTTTACAATAGTAACGAAATTTGTTTTTGCGTATTCAAGCACAGAAAAAGCCTTTTCATACCTGATTAGTAGCCATATTGTTTGACTGATTACGCGGAAGCAAACGCGAGGCGAGTTAGGTTATTTGAAAGCAAAGTACGTGAGGGCTATATGCTTATGGGAAGGGGTACCTTCAAAGAGGAGTTTCTAAGGGAAACCTGGCTGGTATTAATATTACACATAGGGAAAACCATGGAAATCACCAATGAGGCCCGTTCATTTGAGCTTGAACAAGGATGGAACTATCAGTATTCAGCGATCTTAACCGTTCGATCACTGGAGGGTCAGCGGAAGGAGGAAGAGGTCGTAAGTTTGTAAGAATTCCTTCATAAAATGGTACTAAATTACTTCCTCATGGAAAAAAACTCGTTTATATTTATAGGCATTTAACTTATTTTAGGATAACCCCATGTTAAGATGACTGTCGATTCTCTATATAATGGGTCCCTGTTGCGTTCTGTAAAGCGGAAACCATTTGTGGACCTTCTTTCAACTTTATTTAATAAGACATTTCATTTTAATTTATATGTTCACAGATTAGGATTAAGGTTTTTTTTAACGATATATTTTTCTTTGCTACCTAAAGCTATTGAGAGGGAATGAGCTATTTAATTATGCTAATAGAAATATAAAAATAAGATTATGGAAACCTTTTGGAGGATAAATAAAAAAGGCTGGTATTCACGTTGGAGATCACGAAAAAACCCCATGCAGTCAGCATGTTCGCCGAGATTCGACATTGAGTGGAAATACCAGTATTCAGCTGTCTCGCCAAAAATTAAGAGCTAATCTAGTCAAAAGAAATCATGTTGAGAATGCGATGTGTTCTAATAAATTTTAACTTTATCCTTCTTTTGGCGTTATCTTCGCTGTTGGCTATTGATTTTTAGTAGTATATGAGTTACACACACCTAGCGTGTTATAAACATACGATACATCAGAAATTTTGTGCTAAACTTGTGAGGGTCCTTTTAAATACGTGTGATCAATTTACAGAAAAGAAATGAAATATTTCCAGGAAGTAATTTACGTACGTTTATTTACTTGCAATACGCTTAATTTCTCGCATAATAAATAAGGAAGAAATTATAGATTACATGCCTTGTTTATTGTCTAATCACAAACAAATTATTTTCCAATGAGCAGATTTAAGGAAGTTTTTAATACGAATAAAAGTTCCGGAAACCTACTTAAATGTCCTATTTATTTTCATCTTAATTGGAAACTAAATCGAGTTGTTCTTGAGCAAGAAAGTGAACACACACACAAGAAAGATTCCTAAGTTACAGTAAGCCTATTTTTGTAACGCATTATGAATTATATTTCTAAGGTTAGCAAAGGTTAGATAAAAGAACATGACTTATAGATCATTGAGAGTATCCAATATATTGAAATTATATATTCAAGTTACGAAAACTACTTAGACGATTGGTTATTCGGATATGACAATGTACTACTTGAGGTTCATCTTTGACATCGCAATTGCATTATGCTGATAGGAATGATTAGACAGTTGACTAATTGATTTGGCAAAATTCGCGATCGCCGATAAGCATCTGCTTAGCCAGCTTCGTGAACGTGATTCTGAGGAAAAACTGGCTTGTATTTAGTTAAATCACTAAAATGCCAATACACTTGGTCATTTCTGGACTCGATATCCGAACCAGATTTTAACTATCTGAGTTTTGGGGAACTAATAGAATACAAAAATAAGTCTGTAATCTGAATCTTAATGGTGTGATCCTAGGAATTCAGTAAACATAGCTATTAAAACTGTGAATAAATAATTTTCGCTGTGGAAAGGTAAACGGTAGAATATCGCTATCTGAATTTATTCGATGATTAAGGAATTCGAATGATGCAGGCAGATTGAATAGGCAATATTTTTCAAACGTAAAATAACGTGCAAATGGACTGAATTATTTGGACTAGGGCAAAGCACATTAGGACTGTCTGCCTAAAGGAGGGATGCTTTCGTGGAGCGCTTTCTGAGGGAAATTGAAACTATTTACGTTACAGTTTGGTTTACTCAAAATAAGCAAGCGGTTTACTGCAAAATAAGCAAGCGTTATCCCGCTAAAGAGAGGGATGCCTTCGGAAGGACTTCCTGAGGGAAATTGGCTCACATATACGTTGCACATGGGGTAAAACCGAATAAAGCTCTCGTTTGTCGGAATCTGAACTTGGCCATCGAATCACTCGGCTAGTTGTGTCATATACGACTGGAAGTGTTATCTATAAGAAATGCGCTTGAATAAAAAAATGATAAATACATTTTCAATTAGTTACTGCATGAACCTCGGAAGCCGCCACTTTTAATTGTTCCTGTTGTCTTATATATACCAAATGTATTTCTTCATAAGAATGATTACATTGAAATAACGGATAGTAGATAATCTGAATTACCTTGTAATGCCTAATTAACGTTTCCTTCCAATATATTAGATACA